GGCCTGGCAGGAGATGGGGCACAGTCAGGGCCAGGGAGGAGCAGAATCCTCAGAGGAAGATGTGGATCCTCTCCCAGACAGCCGGGAGGCAGGTGGGACACAGGGAGGAGCAGATCCTCACTCAGACAAAGATGGGGATCCTGCCCTGGGTGGAGGGAGGAGCAGCATCCTCACTCAGCCAAAGATGGGGATCCTCTTGGGACGGCCTGGAGGCAGATGGGGCACAGGGAGGAGCAGAATCCTCAGAGGAAGACGCGGATCCTCCCTCAGACAAAGATGTGGATCCTCCCTCAAAGATGTGGATCCTCCCTCAGACAAAGAGGCGGATCCTCCCTCAGACGAAGAGGCGGATCCTCCCTCAGACGAAGAGGCGGATCGAAGAGGCGGATCGTCTCGCGGATGGAAGGAGGAAGGAGCAGATCCTCAGACAAAGATGTGGATCCTCTCCTGGATGGCCTGGTGGCAGATGGGGCACAGGGAGGAGCAGAATCCTCCCTCAGACAAAGATGCGGATCCTCCCTCAGAGGAAGACGCGGATCCTCCCTCAGACAAAGATGTGGATCCTCCCTCAAAGATGTGGATCCTCCTCCCTCAGACGAAGATGTGGATCCTCCCTCAGACGAAGATGTGGATTCCCCCTCAGACGAAGATGTGGATCCTCCCTCAAAGATGTGGATCCTCCTCCCTCAGACGAAGATGTGGATCCTCCCTCAGACGAAGATTGGATTCTCCCTCAGACAAAGATGTGGATCCTCCCTCAAAGATGTGGATCCTCCCTCAGAGGAAGATGCGGATCCTCCCTCAGACGAAGATGGGGATCCTCTCCTGGATGGCCTGTCAGCAGATGGGGCACAGGGAGGAGCAGAATCCTCCCTCAGACGAAGATGTGGATCCTCCCCTGGGTGGAGGGAGGAGCAGATCCTCCCTCAGACGAAGATGCAGATCCTCCCTCAGACGAAGATGAGGATCCTCCCTCAGACAAAGACTGGATCCTCCCTCAGAGGAAGAGGCGGATCCTCCCTCAGAGAAAGATGTGGATCTTCCCTCAGACAAAGACGCAGATCCTCCCTCAAAGATGTGGATCCTCCCTCAGAGGAAGAGGCGGATCCTCCCTCAGACGAAGATGTGGATCCTCCCTCAAAGATGCAGATCCTCCCTCAGACGAAGATGTGGATCCTCTCGCGGATGGCCTGGCGGCAGATGGGGCACACGGTCAGCGCCGTGCTGCAGTCCGGGCAGGAGCCGTGCCCGCACTGGAACACCAGCTTGATCTGGTCGTCGATGCAGATGGGGCAGGTGATCCTCTCCTCCATCTGCCGGTAGCGGCTCTGCAGCTCCTCCA